GTTCGAATTTTTTTTTTCTTTTTCAATTTTTGAATTTGCACAGAGAGAGAGAGAGAGAGAGAGAGGATTTGGAAGGGTCTCAGGTGAGGCTAGGGTGGATCTCGAGTGGGGACGAGGGTGGTAGTACAGTGGCGTTAGGTTGGGGGTTTCTGAGTTTTGGGGTCACTGAAGGCTTTCTCTCTCGAAGTAGGGGTAGTGGCGGGTGTGGCTGCCTTTTTGGAAGAGAGATTCTTAAGGGAGCTTATCCTTCTATCTATTACTCTTACTCCACAACAGTAGAAGAGAAAAGAATCTTAAATTTGTTCTAGTCCTTTTAATTACTTACTCTTAAGTAAACCTTCTCTTTTTCCATTTCGCCTTTTCTTTATGGATTTGTATTGTAAACTTGTGAAGATGGAGGTGGGGTTGTTAGGGTTAATGATGGATGAAGAAGGTGGAGTTGGGGTCAATGATGGATGAAGAACCCGAAAGGACGCTTTTACCCCTCATTTTGACGGATAAATTGACAGAGTTGGACGGTAGGACTCAATTGCAACTAATTGTCTAATTAAAGTATGTCTTTGCCACAAAAATTAGTTCGCGGACCCAATTGCAACTGGGGCCATAGTTCACGGACGTCTATAGCAATTAACCCTTTAAAAAAACTCTCATACAAACATGGTATACTTAAAGAATCTAGGGGTCTGCACAATATATTTAAGTTTAACCTTGACACTCGCTTCTTTTCCAAAGCTTCCTGTCTCTAATTCTCTCCTCTTGTAATTGCTTTCATGTTTCCTCCATAGTTGCAAGCATGAAAGGAACCAGACTACTCCCCAGTCACTCCCCAAAGACCATTGAGTCTGATCGACCTACCAAACAAGAAGATGAAAATTTTGAGTTTTAAGTAAAGATTTGAAAGTAGGTGGGTGTGGGTAGGTGTTTAGGATATAGTAGTTGTAAGTTCCTATATTGGAACAACCCTAAAATTTAAACCGATACACAGGCATGGACTTAAAACTGCTTAATTTTAAAGTGAAGCAGGTTTTTAGCCAAAAAAAAAAAAAAACCCAATCCCAAACGGAGCCTTAGCCAATTAGTTAAGGCGGATATGCTCCCCACTCTGCACCCGAGTTCAAATTCCCTTTTCCCATAATTTAAATTAATTTAAAATAGAATATCATTATCATTTGTATAAAAATTAAAAATAAAAAATTTAACCCATGCGATATGCTCAACAGGATACACACACCCTCCCCACACTCTGTCCGCTCCAAGGTCTAAAATATCGATGATATCGGAAATATCAGTAGTCCAAAAACACGGAAATTTCAATGGAAATATTGGGATATTATCGATATCGATAAAAAATTAATAAAAACCACGGAAATTGTAAGAAAAACTTGGAAATTTTTATTGAAACTTTGGAGAATGTTTATTTAGTCAATTATCTATTAGTTTATCACAAAAAATTAGAAGAAAATGCATTGCATGATGGATTTAACTGATTTAAGTTGATTATACAGTGAGCTGGCAAACACTGTAAGTGTAGAAAATATGTAGTAATTAATGAAAAAAGATTAAACACACTATAATCATTTATATATAATATTTACTATAATATTTTACACTTTATACATTGCATGGTAAGATACATGAGTGACTTAGTACCACATAGAATTCCTATGAGGTTCAAATTTTTCACTATCTTCATCATCTCTATGTGTAGAGTAAGGGTATTGTGAAGAGTAGTCATCAAATGATAAATCCCCAAAATAATTTTGCATGTAATTGTTAACATGCCACCCATATAAATATAAATATTTTAGCATATTATCACAAAAACATAAGTGATATGGTGGTTAAGGTGTTGGAGGAGTAAAATGGGAGGGGTTCAAATACCCTTTGTGTTTTTTTTCTCCCATTTTTTTTTTTTTTTTTTTTTTCCTTTACATCGATGTTTTCGATATTTTCGATATTTTAGCGATATTTTCCGATATTATCGTTGATATTGTCGATATTTATACGATATGTACATGGATATGTTCCAAAATATCCGTGATTCGAAACAACCAAAATATCCTCGATATTTCGTCAATATTATCAATATTTCATACTATGGTCCGCTCCACTGTGGGTAGTTAGTAATTAACAAATGATATGCTAAAGATTTTCTCCAGTCTCCACGACAAAATATGTTATTCACGACCATGTACTAATTTGGTCACAAATACAAACAGCATTATTGATTAGTAAAAAATATGACTAAATCCTTATAATATTAAAATGAATGGCTGCAGGAACACCAAGTTCCATTTCAGCCAATAATGGTTACATCTTTTTTAATTTTTACGGTGCTGATCAGTAACTATCTCCGGAATATTTGGAGATAATCATGCGCAAATAAGGAAGAATATAAAATTAAACCAAACCAAATCAAGTTATCTGGAGAAGGAAAAAAAAAATCACTAAATAAAATAAACTAAATCAAGTTTTTTTTTTTAGAATAAAAGATTCAAATTGATAGACTATAATAAATGCAAATATTTTATACATTCAAATCATAATTATTTAAAAGGTCAAATATAGTAATTAATTATGGCATAAAATTAATTTCTTACTCGTTTGAATTGCAATTAATCTTAATTATTCAGAGTCAATAACTGTATTAATTAGTTAATTATTATGATATAAATTATACTTACCCGATTTAAATTATAAGGGGCATAATTGGAACAAAAAAATAATTTTAAATTTTTTTTTTACGAATATGGTGAAGTTGGGTTAGGTCTTTTATTTATTAATTTATTTATTTTATAGGTTTTTTTAAAAACTTTTTAGTTATTTATTTATTTATTCAAAGTTAACCCTGTTAAATTTGGAGTTAACTAATGGATAGATGTCAAGCAATAAAAATAAAGGGACATGAGGGGACGCTAAATTTGGTACACCATATCCCCTTCCATAAGATTCTATTGGAGCACTTCTACTCCTATGGGCAAGAGCAAAGCAAGGGCACGGTAAGGGCTATAACTATTCACGTGAATGATGGCAGCCCTTGCAATTTTGTTTCCACCCCTATGGGTAAGGGTATTCACTTTAATTTATTTTCTATTTTTTAATAGGGAGTTAGTGCTCGATGGTAATATGATCATGTGTCATAGGTAATGAAGCATTTCGTCTCTCATACTTAATTAGTGAAATTTTTAAGTTAGTTTTGCCAATTAGTTGCAAATAATCTTAAATGAAAATGGGTTTTTGGTTGTTCAAATTAAAGTGTTGCTTCTGCTATGATGTGCTACAACTTTTGCCTCTTCAAGAAATTTTATTATTATAATTTTGTGATGTTATTTTGGTACGTTAGTATGTTTGTAATTGTAATTGCGGAATGGGTGTCCAAATAAAACTCTAGGGTGCAACTAAAATCGTTGTTGTTGTCTTTCAACCCACTTGGCAAAAGCCCAAATGACGAAATTATGTACTATAAAAATATAGTAAGAGTAGCTCTTAACAAAATGAGACAAGGTGAGACAAAATGAGACTTCCTAAACTTTATCCCCAACTTCAGTAGTTCCACTTTCCTTCTAACTTCTATTCCACTTTACTTGGAACTCCTACACTTCCAAATATTGTAATTCAACTCAACTTATTATTCTAAATTTGGCAAAACAAAAAAAAAAACTTGATATTCTTAAAATATCCCTCTAAATCAAACTATTTTATTTATATTTTACTTACTATTGGGGCCAACCAGAGAGGCCACAACAACAGCCTCATGGTTGGATGAAGAACTCGAAAGTGCAAAAGGATTTTACGGTAATGAAAGTAATAAAATTAAAGTCATTTGCTTGGTCTTTTTTTTCAAGCCCAGCAAACGATAGAAGTTCATTCATCAAAGAAAACATCAAATGTCTTTGCTAATGTTGGGAATAGCCAAGACGGAGGCAATCGTTCCCAAGCACTTAGACATGCATTGGACGAGCGTTTTGATTGGAAGTTTGCGGAAGATGTCCACTATTATGTGGTTTGGTAGTTGCAGAATGTAGGGGTTGTTATCATCTTCTTGCTTCTTCAGAGATGAAACTCTGTCGTTTTGTCCATTACCATGGATGTTTTTTGTCATCGCTGTACCAGAAACAGGCGAGGGTCTCATTGGTACTGTCTGAGTTTGCTTTTCTTGGGGATTGGAGTGCTGCTTCTGGGTGAAGTTGGGAGATGTTAAGCACCCGTGAGGAGGCAATTTCATCTAGACTCAATTATTTTGCTTGCACACAACTCTATGGTATCTATTTGCGTATCTTTATATATATATAATATATTTATTCTCTTATCCGGATGTCCGCACGTTATTATCGTGCTGATCCTATTGTAAACAGGCAGGAAAACAGAGACAGAGAGGGGTAGTACAAAATACACGGCGTTCGCATGATAATAACGTCCGGATGTCCGCATAAGAGAATTTATATATATATATATATATAAATTAACTAACTCTAGTATCTATGTGGATACGATGCATGCTTAAAATCCAAAAAAAGAAAAAAAGAAAAAGAAGAAGGAGATGCAAACTTAAGCAAAGACAATCAAATGTGTACAATGATTTGAGGTTTAAACTTCGGATAGAAATTAAGAATGTGGGAAACAGTACAAGATCAATTCCTAGATCATTAATTTCAAACATGTTAATTAGAATTACAATCAACCTCTATCTTGAAGAAGAATAGAAAATATAGCTGAAAAACCTATAGTTAGGGAAAACAGATCCTAGTGTATAGAACTCTCTTCCTAAATAAATGGGGGCTAAATAATAACTGTCATGCCAGTCCAACATTTCTCAAAGTTGGCAACACACTGCTTCCTAGCAACTTCTAATTGTATTTGTAGCGCTTGACCTCTCTCTCTCTCCCCCAACTAGCCGCCGCATGCACCAACCTGCCCCATCAACCCATCCTCACCACAAAGAGAAGAATACATAGAAATTCCCCCCACAAACAATATTCTCTCATAGTTTCTCATATATACCTCTCAACACACACAGTACTAACTTTGTTTGGGCAATCAATAGCCACATGGGATCATTGCAAACACCCATAATCAAATGAAAATTATACTGAGATTATTGCTAATCAATGCTAACGTTTGTCTCAAATCGAATTGACGATCCAATATATATTAATGTAAATATCGGATGAGCTGAATAAATTTATTTGTTTTACTTGACAAAAAAGTAGAAACAAGTATGCATATAGTTTCAAACTCCAACAGTTCAAATGAATAAGATAATTCCATTCCAATTTCTTTCAAAAACTCAACTTTTCGATAGGAAAATAAAGGACATGAAGTTTGAAATTGCAAACAATAGCAAAAGACCAAATGCATACTTACTATCTTTGACATATAATAACACTCTCGATCTGATCCGGGGCTAGAGCTCTAACCCCTGATAATATATTTAGGCGAAACAAAGCTTGGATTATGGACATGTGCTTCAGACACGATTGGTATCCCATCAAACTCAACGCCGGCAAAACCCTTCCCAGAAGCATAAGCCAGCAATTTCCAACCAATATGCAACAAGACTTGCCCATCCCTAAACTTCAACAAGACTGGCACATCCCCAAACTTCGCCGAGAGCCCATCCTTAAACTTCACCCAATGTGGAGGAGATCCAACCACGACGTCTACAATTGTAAGCTCTAGGCTCCAAGACTCCTTAACCCCATGCTCCTTCATCACCCAACTACTCATTTTTTTCTCGGAGCCTACAGTTACAGTTACAGTTACAGAGAGGCAACCCTGCAAGACGCTAAAGTCCAATCTTGATATATTTTTCTTTCCTTCCAAATCCCAACTAGGGGGTAGGGGCAACTCATGGAAAACCTCTCTTTCAAGATCAAAGGCACATATCACAGCCCTTGACCAATCAATCCAATGAAGAAACCCACTAACACAAACCCCATATAGCACGTAGTCCAAACAGTACGTAAAATTCCCAATGCTTCTCCAAGTCCCAGAGCCAATAGTCAAAACCAATACCTCCCAGCACTGCGGTTCATCACGCGATTTATTTTGAGGCCTGAGCCGAACAAGCTTATATGCACCACTCATGGGACTAAACCCAAATCCACATGGATAACTAATTATGCACTCATCTGGCGGTGTTGGAAGAGACAAAGACTCACCCGTGATGGGATTGGATATGTATAGACGGCCACATGGCGGTTTCCAAGAGTGGAGTTTGTAGAGGCAGAGTAAGCCGTTGCACGAACCCACGATATGCAACCGATCAGTACGTCGTACAATTGGATCTTCCGAAAGCTTTAGTGCGACGTCATATGGGCTCGAGGAGTCGTTTTTGAGGGTGACCAGGTGGACCTTAAAGCGTGATGGTCGTAAAAGAAGACAAGTCGTTCGCCAAAACAGTTGTTCGTTGAATTGGGGGTCTGATAGCAAACGATGCCAAAACTTGCACACGAACCTGCTTTGGACGAGGGTTTTAATTGGAATTTTCTGGAAGATCTCCGCTAATATGTTGTTTGGAAGTTGCAGAATGTTGGGAATGTTATGATCCTCCTTTCGTTTCTCCATGAATGAAACTATGTTGTTTTTTCCACAATCATCATGGATGCTTTCTGTCATGGCTGCGGTGCTTTAGGGTTTTAGGGTTTTGGGTATTTTCAGAGTTTTTATTAAGAAATTTGTTCCAAGGAAACCATTAGATATAATCTAAGGGTTGGAGAAAAATATTATTTTAAATATTATTATATCATTATCTTTTCACTTTTACAGTTTTACAACATCAAAAGAATATTTTGATTATTTAAAAAAAGAATAATTCTACTCTTACCACATTTGTATATCACATTCCCATACCACCTTATGTGCAGATAAGGTGGACAACCACATCAATTAAAATTAGTTTAACATTTTCTTTTCTTTTATGATTTATTGACACTTTTAATTGATGTGGCTGTCCACTTCATCTGCCACATAAGGTGGTATGCGAATGTGGTATGCAAATGTGGTAAGAGTAACATTAAAATTGAAAACCGTTTTACCAAACCATCACCACATATCATCCGATGGAGATTAACTTAAAACTTTTCATTTGTTGTAAATTCATTGATTGTGGATGACCACCATAATATCACTCTTAATACCTACCATAAAACACATCATAATATCATTGTAACCTATATACTAAGGATTGTATTTAGTACATTTATGGGTTGTAATTATGTGTTTGTAACCTACCAATAATGGGTGATGAATGTTTGTCTATACCCGAAGCCTATAAATAGTAGGTATTAAAGATGAATGATATACAAGTTCATATAACAAATTCTCTATCTTTCTCTTCCTCTTATTACTCTCTACAATTTCCCCTAATTTTATAACACGTTATCAGCATGATGTTGCTCTTTATATTATTTCTTTATCTGAGTTTTTTTTCTTTCTATCTAAGCTAAAGTCATCACGTGGTTTAGAGTTTTCATGTACTCACCCGCATGGCTTCATGATGCTTATGATTCTTTTATTTATTTATTTATTTTTATTTTCTTTTGATGTCTTGGTGTGATAACCATAATAACCACATAGTTATTTGATATGCATTAACATAGTTAATTGGTATGCATAGTAACCGAGCATAATAACATGCATTCATATCCTCAAAACAATTGTTATGCATGCATACGCCTAATATACTTGCATACATGTTTACTATTGACATTTTTTCTTTTCTTCTGTCATATAGCTACAAATTTTTTTTCTTTTCACACTTGACATGTTTCTCATATCTAATCATACATTAATTAATTAGTTTATTTATTAATTTTAAGCATGTTTTTAATTCATTACAATATAGAAGAGATTAGGGCTTGAAGTTCCTCGATCCTCATCATATAATTAGATTAGGACCTAATGAAGTTCCTTTATCGAATCATAATCTAAAGTTCTTTTGATTCTAAATAAATGAGGGTATGAGGTGTCTCAATTCCAATTGTAAAGATCCTAAATCAAAAGTTTTGGTAGATGTATTAATGTTTACTCCATAAACAATAACCACTATAAGTGGAACAAACAAGACAAGGCAAAAGGCCCCCAAAAGTCGACAAATAAGGTAATTAGGGAAGCTTGTCATAGGTGTGGTGCATATGGGCATTGGGCACAGGTCTGCCGCACGTCAAAATATTTGGTAGATCTTTACCAAGTCGCGATAAAGGGCAAAGAAAAAATGGTTGACATACATTGGTTTGAAGTTGTTCCTTTGGACTTGCACCCGATGGTAACCCACCTTGATGTTTCAGGCTTCTTCGCTGGTACTAGTGGAAAGTCACATGATTAGTGGTGGGGTCCTTCCCAACTAATTTGATGTCTTATTTTCTTTCCATATTTTTTAGCTTTGTTTTGATATCTTATTTTGATCTTATTTGATTTTTTTTTCTCCAATTATATTTTTAATTTATTCCTTGTTCCTAGTTGTTTTTTTAAATCAAGATTGTAATTTTTTGTAGGGGTCTTTTTGTTCCAGCAGCCTGACGAATAGGCTTGGGCTGCTGTAAGAAGAAAACGAACAAAACCTCCTGATGCCTGAGTTCAAGAACCAGACTCCCAAAAGAATTTTTAAAAGACTTGCTGAAGCCCAAGAAAAATACGTTTGGGTTCTTTTCACCAACAACCAGAAGAACGTATAAAATTTATTAGTGACTTAGCTTGAGGAGCTTGTGGCATGGGAGCTAAGCCTTCACAAGTTTAGCAATTTGAGAGAGAGAGATCAAAGCATGAGTTTCTTTCGGAAAATAAGGTTTAGAGTGGAAGAGGGGAAGATTAGGAGCGTTTCTATCTCAGAAAGAGAGAGAAACGATGGAAATAAAAGATGGGGTAAATTCCAATTTGCTCAACAAAGCTTGGTCTTGCTCTGGAATGATGTGTGTTTCTGGGTAGAGGAAGCTCTCTTTTATAGGCATTTGGAACCCTAATTTCGTTGATCCTCCATTCCCACTTTTCCTTTGCTTTTTTCCAATTACTCCCTTTCTTGTGAAATCTCTTCGACCAGAGTGCCTGAGTCAATGTTTTCTTGGGGTTCCAAGGTTTTATGCGGCTGAACCTCCCCATGGGGGTGAGGCACCACCTGCTTTCTTCCCTGGTTTTCAAACTAGAGCTCGCAGAGGAAAAAGGGAATGGGTAGAGTTGTTTGTCCAATGGATATTCCTTCTATACTTATGAATTTCCTTCGGTTCCTTCAATGGCTTCTTGTTGACCGTTATGGAGTTTTGTCAAGGTTGGAACACGATACTAGATTTTTAGCAAGAACCTAGGCTGGGCTTTGCTCATAGGTATTGGGTTATTGGTGTCTTCTTTTCCAGCGGTCCGCATGTTTTCGTCAAGCTGCTGGAAGTGGCCTATTTGTTTTTGGGCGTTCTAACTAACATGGGTCTGCCTAAGTACTACAGCGACCTATGGGATGCTCTCCTAAGGCATTGGACCCCATTTTTCTCTCTCTCATGCTAACTCATGTATTTGGGCTCAGGGAATGGGCTTGAATTTTAGTGCTCCCAAGTGGCCTAAAACTTCCATTCCTTGGTCCCTCAATGGGCCCTGCGAGTGCTCGTACCCGTCCATACCACAACCTTCTCAGCAAGCCCCGGGTAATTATGTGGCTTGGGCCTACTCGAGCATGCAGCATGGCTTGACGGCATCGCGTGTTTATTTGTCGTGCCTGTGCTTGAGTTTTATTGCTCCATATTAAGCCAATATCGAATTAAATGGCACCGGACAGGTTCATGAGCGTGAATTTATAAGGCTGTTGAATTTTTTGGCCCTTTTGCGCATGCTTGCTTGGCGTGACACATGACCCACGGCTTATGTAGGCGTGTCCTACAATTTCTTTTTATGTCCCGATTGGGCTTCTTTTGCAACTAATTATTTGTGCCGGGCTAAGAACAAGTTTGGGCCTAGCCCTTGGATTTTTGGGCCTCAACATTTTTTTTTGTCTTTATGTTAAATTGTTACTTAATGGTAATGTTTTTGCATTAAATTGTTTCTTTCCATAGGACTTGTCACAAGCGTACGAGTATTGAGGATTCTGCTGTACGTGCTAGTGAGCTTAGTCCCAGTTGGACGGCTCGTTCCCTAGCCACATGGTTAATTGAGGATTCTTCCATGTGGACTAGTCAAACAATCCCCCGATTGGATTGTTTCCCCAGTACAAACTAGTTGGTGTCATACTTATATATATATTCATTCGTTCTTGTTTATCGGTGAGGATACTTCCTCACTCACCTTGCCAATGGGCACGCATTTCGAGAGACTAGTTTGGGTATAATAAGGGAAAATTTCATTATGGGATTTCGGATTTCATTATGGTTTTGACCCAACTATATTATTATATATGGCTTTATCGATTTTGAGTGCATATGGTTTTCGGCATCATTTTATAAACGGTGGGGTTATATTATGTTGGTTTGTGAACTAAACTTTGTTTTTGTCCACCCACACTTTTCTGTTTTGCGCCCCCCAGACAGTAGTTGACTGAGTTGAGCAGCAGAGCTGAGCCCTGAACTCCTAAACCTTGAGTCTCAGTAGACTAAGCTTTGTTCGTCCCTTTCCCATTAAACTTTGTTATCGTTTGTAAACTGAAACTCTTAGATTGCTCTGTTATTGCCCGTACTAGGGTTTGATTTGTGAGGTCGGAGGCCATTGTTGTAAACTATTTGAATGCTAACTTGTGCATGCTTCCAATTGTGGATATTATTTGTGATTCTAACAAGTTGAAAAATTTGGAAAAAGTCCATTTTACAGGGGAGACTTTGCCGAAATTTCGGCAAAAATTCTCGTTCTTTAGTAAGTGGGTCCGGCATCGGTTTGATGTCGGAAATACCACGGGATTCGTCTCGGATTCTGAGGAATTAGGGGTGGGTCCTGTCAAGAAATATAATAGGAGAAATCCAAAACACAAAATATAACAGAAAATATACATTAACTTGACATAAAATGGAAAGATTAGGAAAGTCTAAACCCTAAAGAACTACAAACTAAACTAGAAACTGCAGTGCAGTTTCCATTTTTTGCGATGCAGAAAATAGATATATTTGATGCTCTTTCTCTTTCTCTGGTATTTTTTGGTTTTTAGAGGTTTTAAAACCAAAACTAAACCTAAAACCTAAACTACATTGCAGAATGAAGAATGAATAGTAGGTATTAGAGCGTTCATTTTCTTCCAGTTTTTGTTGAAAGAGAGAATGAAGAATCGGCTTCGATCATTGGTGGTTGTCACCATTGGTGGTCACCGTTGATGCGAATGATCGTTTATGAGATTTTGGGGAATAGTGTGGAACTATTGAAGGCGATTTCTCGAGGTGAAGATGAAAGGTCACACAAAGGGGTTAGCATTTAATTTGAGTAGATGTCGTTTTTGGTTAAGTTTTTGGTGTTTTGATGTCGTTTTGACAGCTGTAAGTTTTGGTTTAAAACTAAATATTGAAATTTGACAATAATGGCATATGTTGTAATTTTGATGTTCTTTAGTTATATTTTGGTAAAAGTAGATACTATATTTTGGCTTTTGACTTTATCCTAATTAGCTGAAATTGAATTCCTATTTACCTAAATAGTAAGCTATATTGTGTGTGAAAACT